GCCGCGGTGACGCCGGTGGGCGGGCTCGTAGAGACGGGATTAGGGGGCGGGGCCCGCGGTAGCCGAGACAGCAGGGACCAACGGGATGGGAAAGGCGGGGATGGCGGGATCGGTGCGAGGGGCCGCGAGCTCCGGAAGGGTGGCGGGGGCCGGGCGCCGGGACCGCGAGGGCGGGGGGCGGGGCGCGGGGCGGCAGGGGACAGCGGGACTGCGGGTTCCGGAGCTGTGCGGTCCGACGGGGAGGTGGGGGGCGTGTCCCGTTCTGGACTCGCGGCGGCAAGGGGCGGGCTCGCGGCAGGAGCAGAGCTCGGCGAGGCAGGTGCTGCAGGCGTCCCCCTTGCAGCAAGGAGCTCAACCACTGCCCTGCAAGCTGGGACCAGCGAAATCGCGGCAGCAGATACTATTAAAGTGCTTCCCACTGTGTCCCGAGTCTCTTTATAGCAGTCGCGGTTTACGACCGTCTTTACGACAGTCGCGCTTTACGGCACCTTTTACGACAGTCGCGCTTTACGGCACCTTTTACGACAGTTTTGCTTTACGGCACCTTTTACGACAGTCGCGCTTTACGGCACCTTTTACGACAGTTTTGCTTTATGGCACCTTTTACGACAGCCGCGCTTTACGGCACCTTTTACGACAGTCGCGCTTTACGGCACCTTTTACGACAGTCGCGCTTTACGGCACCTTTTACGACAGTTTTGCTTTACGGCACCTTTTACGACAGTCGCGCTTTACGGCACCTTTTACGACAGTCGCGCTTTACGGCACCTTTTACGACAGTCGCGCTTTACGGTACCTTTTACGACAGTCGCGCTTTACGGCACCTTTTACGACAGTCGCGCTTTACGGCAGTTTTGCGACAGTCGCGCTTTACGGCACCTTTTACGACAGTCGCGCTTTACGGCACCTTTTACGACAGTCGCGCTTTACGGCACCTTTTACGACAGTCGCGCTTTACGGCACCTTTTACGACAGTCACGCTTTACGGCAGTTTTGCGACAGTCGCGCTTTACGGCACCTTTCACGACAGTCGCGCTTTACGGCACCTTTTACGACAGTCGCGCTTTACGGCACCTTTTACGACAGTCGCGCTTTACGGCACCTTTACGACAGTCGCGCTTTACGGCACCTTTTACGACAGTTTCGCTTTACGGCACCTTTTACGACAGTCGCGCTTTACGGCAGTTTTGCGACAGTCGCGCTTTACGGCACCTTTTACGACAGTCGCGCTTTACGGCACCTTTTACGACAGTTTTGCTTTACGGCACCTTTTACGACAGTCGCGCTTTACGGCAGTTTTGCGACAGTCGCGCTTTACTGCACCTTTTACGACAGTCGCGCTTTACGGCACCTTTTACGACAGTCGCGCTTTACGGCACCTTTTACGACAGTCGCGCTTTACGGCACCTTTTACGACAGTCGCGCTTTACGGCACTTCGTTTTATGGAACTTTTACAGCATTTTACAGCATTTTACAGTGCCGTAAATATTTTTATTTTATTTTATTTTTCAAATGTAAATTAATAAATGTAAATAATTTATTTTTAATTAATTTTTAAAAGTTTTTTTATTTAATTTTTATTTTATTTTTCTATTTTTAAAGCTTTTTATTTTATTTTATTTGTCAAATGTAAATTAAGAAATGTAAATAATTTATTTTTAATTAATTTTTTAAAGTTTTTTTATTTAATTTTTATTTTATTTTTCTATTTTTAAAGCTTTTTATTTTATTTTATTTGTCAAATGTAAATTAAGAAATGTAAATAATTTATTTTTAATTAATTTTTTAAAGTTTTTTTAATTTTTATTTTATTTTTCTATTTTTAAAGCTTTTTTATTTTATTTATCAAATATAAATTAAGAAATGTAAATCATTGATTTTTAATTTTTTTTTAAGTTCTTAAATTTAATTTTTATTTTATTTTTCTATTTTTAAAGCTTTTTATTTTATTTGTCAAATGTAAATTAATAAATGTAAATAATTTATTTTTAATTAATTTTTTAAAGTTTTTTTATTTAATTTTTTAATTTTTTTCTTTTTTTAAAGCTTTTTTATTTATCAAATATAAATTAAGAAATGTTAATCATTGATTTTTAATTATTTTTTAAAGTTTTTAAATTTAATTTTTATTTTATTTTTCTATTTTTAAAGCTTTTTTATTTTATTTTATTTATCAATTGTAAATTAATAAATGTAAATCATTGATTTTTAATTAATTTTTTCAAGTTATTTTTATTTATTTTTTATTTTATTTTTCTTTTTTTAAAGCTTTTTTATTTTATTTATCAAATGTAAATTAAAAATGTAAAAAATTTATTTTTAATCAATTTTTAGAAAATATTTTTTATTTTTTATTTTATTTTTCTATTTTTAAAGCTTTTAATTTTATTTTATTTATCAAATGTAAATTAATAAATGTAAATAATTTATTTTTAATTAATTTTTTCAAGTTATTTTTATTTAATTTTTATTTTATTTTTCTATTTTTAAAGCTTTTTATTTTTTTTATTTATCAAATATAAATTAAGAAATGTAAATAATTTTTTTTAATTAATTTTTAAAAGTTTTTTAAATTTATTTTTTATTTTATTTTTCTTTTTAAAATCTTTTTTGTTTTTTTTATTTATCAAATGTAAATTAATAAATGTAAATCATTGATTTTTAATTAATTTTTTCAAGGTATTTTTATTTAATTTTTATTTTATTTTTCTTTTTTTAAAGCTTTTTATTTTATTTATCAAATGTAAATTAATGTAAATCATTGATTTTTAATTAATTTTTTCAAGTTATTTTTTATTTAATTTTCTATTTATTTTTCTATTTTTAAAGCTTTTTATTTTATTTATCAAATGCAAATTAATACATGTAAATCATTGTTTTTTAATTAATTTTTTCAAGTTATTTTTTGATTTTTTTTTTCTATTTTAAAGCTTTTTATTTTATTTTATTTATCAAATGTAAATAATGTATTTTAATTAATTATTTAAAGTTATTTTTTATTTAATTTTTTTTTATTTTTCTATTTTTAAAGCTTTATATTTTATTTTATTTATCAAATGTAATTTCTTGCCACAGTACATGATGAGGTTGTGAGGGATTTAAAAGAAAAAACATTACCATGTCTTTGTCAGTCTTCCATGCTCACTTAAGCTGGCTGTTGGTGATTTGTAGTATTTTTTAAAATAAAAACCAAATGCTTTCCCTTTGTAAGTAAATATGCTATGAAGAGGGCTTCAAAGGAAAGGTGATTAATTACTATCCAACTGTTGCTCAATTCATTGGTTGATGGTCCATATAGTGCATTTTTTAATGTTACTGATACCTGATACAGACCATTCCCAAGCCGTTTGATAATTATTTATCAGCCATGTGCCTGCATGGGGAGGGCATCCCTGGTGTCCCTGGGGTGGAGGTGACAGTGCTCTGGGTACAGCCATGTCCCCAGGGATGTGGGGGGACATGTCCCCCAGCTTCTTCCCAGCCCTGCTCAGCCCCATTTACCCCCTGTGAGCCCTGGTGAGCGTCTGACCTCCCCTCTTCCCCCTCCTTCTGGTTATTAAAAGGGAAAATAAAGGGAAGCAGACAGTGGAGGGGAGCTGGGGACAGTCTCCTGGCAACGCTGGGGACAGAAGCCTCCTCCTGCCAGGGGGACATGGCTCCAGCACAGGCAGCCCTGGTGAACAGAGCAGTGGCAGCTTGGCCCCTCCATTCCCCCCTTAATTCCAGACATTTTTTGGTGATGAGGACCATGAATTTCTTGCCACAGTGCCAGGGTCTGGCAGGAGGCAGGGCAGAGGCTGGAGACAGAACCCCTCTGTGGGTTGTCACTGTCACCTGCTGGGGCTCCCCTCACCCCGCTGTGGTTGCACAATTCCCCACATGCCAAATCCTTGTCATTTGAGCCATTTAACCATCCTGGCTCAGTTTTAACAGGCAGTGGGGCCAAGCAGGCAAGAGATGCCAGAGTGGGTGGGTGGGGACAGGGAGAGGGGACATTTCCTGCCTTTCCAAGCATCCCCGGCCTGAGGCATCAGCCTGTGCCCAGCACAAGGTTGTGCCAGCCCCTGAGCCCCTTTGCTGGGCACAACTCAGCTGTGAAAGGCCGCAGATGGTGCTGGAGCTGGGGGCGAGCAGAGTCACAGAGCAATTAGCCCAGGTCCTGCCCTGCAGCTCAGCTCAGCCATCCTGACCTGGCCACAGCAGGAAGAGTCCTAAAATCCCTGATTTTGAGGAGCAGGGAAGGAACCCTCTCCATTTCCCTGTTTCTCATTCCCTTTGCTAAGCCTCCAATGCTGTCTCCTGCCAGAAGAGGGTGGTGGACAAGGCTGTGCTCAGAGCTGTTATATATGCACGTTTAATTTGTTGTTGCACACCTAGAAATGCAGTGACACTATTTTTTATCTCTGTCTGTTGGTCCAGCAGGGAAATCAATACATTCCTGTGAACACCAAGAGCAAGCTGCTGCCTCCTAAGACTAAGAGAAACAGAAATAAAGATGCAGGTTTCCATGGAAGGGCAGTAGGCTTTCCCCCACAGCAATCTCTGTTGGGATGTGCAACCCTGGGGGTAGCTGCAGGTGGTACCCAGAAACCAAAGGCCTTGCAGGGATACCCTTTTTGGAGCTGGCCACGCTGCTATGACATGAAGGTGTCACCCCTGGATGGGTTGGGGTCCCACAGCTCTGCCCTATGTTCCCTCTTTGTTGCTGGTGCTCTTCCCACCTCTGCCCACAGCCACTGGCAGAGCTGACTCCTGCCTTCTTCTCTCCAAGCAGCAGCAGCAGCTCCCAGGAGCTGCTCCAGCCTCATCCATGGCTGAGCAAGACCTGGGCAGCTGGGGACAGCCAGATGGACAGGCTGTGCCCTGGTGTCCCTTCTGCAGGGCAGCTGGAGCAAAGCTGAGCCATGGTAGGGCTGCAGGCCCTGTGCAGATCCCTCCAGAAGGGTTTTGCTCCATCCCTGTCCCCTGAGTGTGTTTCTCTCCCCACTTCTCTCTGCAGGTTCATGAATCACCGTGTCCCATCCAACTGCAGGTACCAGCCCACAGAATACGAGCACGCAGCCAACTGTGCCACCCACGCTGTGAGTCCCTGTCCCTGGGAGAGGGAGGATGGTGCTCATCCCTCTGGGGATCCACTGAGGAACCTCAAGGGACACCCAAAACCATCTTTGTTCAGCTCTGGGGCAGTCACTGCAAGTCTGAGGCAAATGTGCCCTGTGTATTCCTGGGGATTGGGATGTTCTCCCTCCTCTGCCCTGGGAATTTGATTTTCATCTCCCTTGCTCTCCCCCACTGTGGCCCCATGTCCCTGGGGAAGCTGGCTGTGGGCTTGGTGGGGCAGAAGTATTTTCAAAGCTCCCTGAAAATGGATTGTTTCACAGCAAGAGATGTGACAGGTGCCCATGGGGCTGTCTGTGTAGCAGTGGGAGGGACCTCTCCCCCCACCAGGGTTTCTTTTGGAGCTGACAGTTCCCACTCTGAGTCCTGAGAGATGACTCAGACACAGTCATCCTCCTTGTGCCTTCCTCCTCCTCCTCCCTACCTTCTGGACAAACTATTTTGGAGCTGCACCATGCAGGGAGGGACCCTGCCTGCCCCTTAGGGGTGGTACCTTTGACCAGAAGCTAAAGAAACACCTGAAAGGAGAAGTGGAGGCTCTATTGTAGCTCCTTAATGGAAATGCAGAGAGTCAACAACAGGTTTGCTTCCCCTTCCAGCTCTGGATCCTGCCAAGCATCCTTGGCAGCTCCATCCTCTATATCCTCTCTGATGACCAGTGGGAAACCATCTCAGCCTGGATCTATGGCTTTGGCTTGTCCAGCCTCTTCATTGTCTCCACCATCTTCCACACCATCTCCTGGAAGAAGAGGCATCTCAGGTACCATACCTGACTGCTTGGGAAGGGGGAGAGGGTTCAGATGCCCCCAGTGCTGTGACCCATCTGTCTGTCCTGCAGGACTGTGGAGCACTGCCTGCACATGTTTGACAGGATGGTGATCTACTTCTTCATCGCTGCCTCCTACGCTCCCTGGTGAGTTCCTGGTGCCTTCACCTGCCCCCACTGAAGGGGAAAAAAATCATCCTGGTTCCAACAAAAAGAGTTTCCCTCTCTGGCTTTGCTTCTTCTTGAGGTTGTACCTCACCCCTTTCCACAAAACCTTCACATCCTATGGATTCCAACCTCTTGAAGTTACAAGGTGCTGTGGTGGGACAGCCCCAGGGGTGAGGGGCTGAGCCCAGCCCAGGGTGCTGCCCTGGACCCACCTCACCACAGCCCTGGGTCTTGCAGGTTGAACCTGCGGGAGTTGGGTCCCTGGGCCTCCCACATGCGCTGGATCATCTGGATCATGGCATCCATCGGCACCATCTACGTTTTCTTCTTCCACGAGCGGTGAGTGCCTGCACCCCCCGGGCTGGAGGGCGTGTGGGACCCGGGCCAGGAGCAGGGACTGCTGCCATGAGTTCCTTCCTCCATGTGGTGGCACCAAATAAAAAGCCAAAATCTCCAGATGTCACCCCGGAGTCCCAAGTGTCAGGTCCCAAGCCGGTCTGCACATGAGGACATGGGACCTGCTGTGATGGCACTGCCACCCCTTCCTCTGTAGCACTACTGTGGAAATGTCAAGCATAAAACTCAGCCTCCCTCTGTCCCTGCTCCAAGCTGTCTCTCTGTCTGTCTGTCACAGGTACAAGCTGGTGGAGCTGGTGTGCTACGTTATCATGGGCTTCTTCCCCGCCTTGGTCATCCTCTCCATGGTAAGGCCCTACTTGGGCTCAGACTGAGGGACAAATCCCTCAGGATTTTCCTCAGGATGGATTTGAAAATTCAGAGCAGTTTTCCTCCTGTGGGCTGGTGCAGTCTCCAGGCTGGGTGAGGGATAAAGCCATCCCTGATATGATGTAGCTCACCTTGGTTCTGCAGGTGATTTGGCTGCCTGGCAGCACCACATGCATCTCTCCCAGATCTCCTTCCTGGGCTCTGTGGTTTGAAAATTATAGGATCATAGAATCATAGAATGGTCTGGATTGGAAGGGACCTTAAGGACCATCTAGTTCCATTTCTCCCAGGGCTGCTGGGTCCCTGCTGCCTTGCTGGGGAGGAGGGTGTAGCAGAAGGCAGAGAAGCCCAGAGCTGCAGCTGGACACCACTTTTGGTCTCAGTGGGGTGGTGGAGAGTGGTCAGACTGCCTTGGCCTCACTGAGCATTGCCTGCTCCCAGCCCAACAGGGATGGCCTCCTGGAGCTGGTGGCTGGTGGCTTCTTCTACTGCCTGGGCATGGTGTTCTTCAAGAGCGACGGGCGCATCCCCTTCGCCCACGCCATCTGGCACCTCTTCGTGGCCATGGGAGCTGGCACCCACTACTATGCCATCTGGAGGTACCTGTACCAGCCCGGGGCACTGGACACCAAAACCTCCCCTCGGTAGAAGCCTTAGAGACGTTGTTTGTGCCACCTGGCACGTGGGGACACAGAGGGCACTGGTGACACAGTGGGCTTGCCCCAAACCACCCCCTCACCCTGTGGACAGCAGCTGTTGGTGCCCTTCCTGCACACACAGGAGAGCCTGGAGGTTGATTTTAAATGTTTTTGTTTTTTAAGCTCGGGAACTGTTTGTTTTTTTAGGCAAAAGTTTCAGAACACAGTGACTGACTGGGCTGTGGGCTGACTCACAGTGACCACTCACTGGGAGCTTTGCTCACTCACCTGGTCTTGAGCATCCCACAGGACTGGGAAACTTGGCCCCACATGCCCCAGCTATGACACCCTGGGTTTGGCTCCTGGAGTCCTTAGAGTGTGCCACTGAAGGGACTGGAGGAGTCAGGGTGAGGGGAGAGACCCAGTGGTGGAGGGGGATGTGGTGACAGCCCTGCACCACCTGGTCTGGCTCCTAAATCTTCCTGAGCCCTGCCAGCATTAACAGCTCCATCCCAAGCCCTTGAGGGGATGGCCCATACTCAACAAGCCTTACAAGAGATTGAAACTTGAATCTCTTCCAGGGCATCCCAGTCCCTAAGCACTGGGAAACCCTTTCTCTAAGCCAATATGAAGTGCACAACTCATCCATACATCCCTGGGATCCCCTGTGGACATTTTCTCCCTGGAGTTCTCGGTTTTCCTCTCCAGCCTGGTGCCAGTGGCAGCCTGAAGCACAGCCCAGCTCCCAAGCCCTGCTGCACGTGTGCCTTCAGCAGGGAGCAGAGCTGGGATCCAGCTCCTGGCATCTCCCTGACTGGGGTCAGCCCAGGGGAGTCCCTTTCTCCTGGAGGGAGGGCAGAGAACCTCCTTGGACTGGGATCACAGGGCTACCTGCCTTCTCTGCTCCCATTTTGCTGATGAACCTATTGCTCATCAGATTTAATTCCACTTTTGGAAAGATTTCTGGCATTCCCAGGTTGCTGCAGGGCAGGAATGCATCCACACGAAGCCAGGGTGTGAGCTGTAATGGAGAGGTCCCATTGATGCTCAGTTTTTAGATGTCTAACCATGGCCACACAGTGGGACATGGGACATCCATCCAGCTGCTGGGAGCAGCAGAATGGCAAAACCACACCTGATCCTGCTCTCCAAATGTTGTTGTTCTATTATTTCTAGAGTCCTATATTGTTGTTATCAGATTTCTAAAGTCCATACCTCTTCGGTGTGTTCTAATGGCTGCAGATCTTCACAGACTCCTTCTTCTGCATGTTGTTCTCTCTCAGGCCAGGGCTCCTCCAAGGCTCTCCCTGACTGGCTAACCCACCCCCTTTTATCCCAGTCATCTTCATTGGTCACAGCTGCAGCCCAGTTAAGGACATTGCAGCTGCAGCCCATCAAGGACAACCGGGACCTCTGGGGCAAAGCCTCTATACAGATATTCAAATACATTTCCTCTACTATACCCAAACACCCTGGCAGAGCTGCTGGAGCCAGGAGGGTGTGGTGGTGTGTGCTGGGCTGAGCCTGCACCTTCCCCATCAGCCCCAAAGGAATCCGTTGCCCATCACCTCTTTTTGGCCTTTGATTAATCACAGCTGCAGCCTCTGGCACCATGTGGCAAGTGAAGGAGATTTGTGGCCACCATCCCACATCTCCTGTTCCTCCAGCAGCATTCCAGGGAGCTGAGCAGAGCTTAGGGGCCCCCAGCCTGTGGCACCCCAGGACTGGCTGTCCAGGGCTGTGCCACTGTGCAGCACATCACCAATGTGCCCGGTTTGTGTGCATGGGGGTGAACGAGCTGGTGTGAGCCCAGACTCTGTTGCTGCTGCTCTGCCCAGCCCTGGCCCTGCCACCTGCTGCAGGTGCAGAGGTGGAAAAGGATGAGCTGTGAGTAACCAGCAGCTGATGGAGCATATCCAGGGCTGGAATAGCAGGATGCAGAGATCCCAGGATGGGAGATGCCATATTTTCTGTCTGGCAAGTCATTACCCTTCTCTGTGCCTCAGTTTCCCCATCTGTAAAATGGGGGTGCAGACCCTGACCTACCTCACAGGGCTCGTGTGAGGACCCCGTGAAGCACTTGGAGGGCAGCCAGAGCTGCACAAACCCCTGCTTCACTTTTCCCTGGCTCTGGGGGAGCAGGTTCCCAGAGCCACCCTGGGGCACACTGGCAGCTTCAGCTCTCCTTGCCCTCTGTCCCTGATGCCACGGGGAGCCACGCTGGGGTCAGAGCAGGCAAACAGCGCTCCCAGCCCCAGGCCACTGTCCCCTGGCAGGGCTGAGGGTGCCCAGGGACCACCACCCTGGGCTTCACCCCAGGGGATTTATCTCAGAAACTCTTTTGCCATTTGTGGTCTTTTGGCCCTAAATCTGTCCCAGGGGCTCCTGAGGCACAGGGAGGTGCCAGAAGGACCTTTCTGAGGCTGCTTCATCTCAGTCTCCTGCTGAAAATCCAGGGCAGGACACCCAGCAGGAGTGGATGGCTGGGAACAAAGCCACCCTGCCTTCAGCCTGGATTTGCAGAGTGGGCTTCTCTGTAAGTGAGAGGCTCCCCCTCTCCTCTTGCTCCTAAATCCTCCCCTTGCAAAGCATGGGGGACACAGAGCAAGTTATTGGATTGTCCTCCTGTTTTATACTAATTTTAAATGATTCGTAACATTCAGGATGTTTGTGGAGGAGGGCTCGAGGGATCTTTTTAGCATCTCATGTTTTTCACCATCCATCCTTGTTCAATCAGTATTTTATATTTAACACAGTATTGGGTCAAATACAAACAAATGTAAGGAAGATAACACTAGTGGATGTTGTTTCCTGTGGAGTAGGATCGAAATAAAAACTCAAGATACCTCACTCTTGCCTGCTTGTTAAATCAAAATTAGTTCCCCTGCAGCATCTGGAAATAAACTCATTTTCTGTCTGACTCATCCCACGTGGCTTTGCTCCCTGGTGAGGAGAGGAGCCACTCAACCAACTGCAGGGATGGCACTGGGGTGCTGAGCACTGACTCACCTTGGTGCAGGGATGGCACTGCCAGCTGCTGAACAAACAAACAAACAAACAAACAAACAAATCAATCAATCAGTGAGTTTGCTGACAGAGCCCCTGTGCCCAGCGGTGCTGGCTGAAGACTCATCAGCAGCATCTCACCATGGCAGCTTCAGCACAGCCTGCTCCAGCCCTGCCATTTCCCCTCCTCGTGGCTGAGTCAGAGGCTGAGGTGTGGAGGGAGCCCCAGGGCTGGCACTGAGGGGATGAAGGATGCCAGAGCCATGGAGGAGGAGAAAATCTGTGGCAGACTGGGCAGGGGGCAAGCACAGCCCCCTGCTGACCCCACCAGCCTCTCCTGTGGGCACTGGCTCCTCTTGCAGGGGGAGAATTTGCTCCTCTTGGAGGGGAGAATTTGCCCCCACGCTGGAGCTGCCTGGCCTGGGCTCTGCACAAGCACTGTCTGCCCTCTCTGCCATAATTATAGTGCTGCATTCCCCCAGGCTGCCGTGCTCAGCAGCTTTCCCAGAAAGCCAGGGAGGGTTCCCTGCTTCCAGGGGCAGCTGAACTCACCCCCAAACCTGACCCACAACTTCCACCTCACCCATCATTCCTGTGCTGCTGGCAATTGGGCTGGACTGGGAGGCCTCCTGAGTCTGCTTTGCTTTGGTGCTGTCGTTCCCAGAGGGTGTCTGGGTGGCAGAATTGCTTTCCCAGCCGGAGCACCCCTGGACAGGGAAACACCCTTTACCAAAAGGAGACATTTTCACCAAGGCAAGCAGAGCATCGGTGACCATCTCAACCTGAACAAGTGATCCATCCCTCACCCCTGTCAGGCACCAGCCTGTGTGCACCCCCAGCAGTCTCCAGGTCAGCTCTGGAGCTGCTTTGATAAAACCTGTCTGGCCAAAGCCAGCCTGTGCAGCTGAGGTGCTGCTGCCTGCAGAGCCCTGCCTGGCTTGCTCCTGGCATTTTCACAGAATCCTAGAGAGGCTTGGGTTGGAAGGAACCTCAAAGCTCATCTTGTTCCAACCCCTGCCATGGGCAAGGACACCTTCCTCTAGACCAAGATGATCAAAGCCACTTCCAACCCAGCCTGGAACACTTCCAGGGATGTGGCAGCCACAGCTTCTCTGGGCAACCTGTGCCAGGGCCTCACCACCCTCACAGGCAAGAATTCCATCTGACCCTGTCCTCTGGCAGTGGGAATCCATTCCCCCTTGTCCTGTCACTCTATGCCCAAAGTCTCTCTCCATCATTTTTGGAGCCCCTTTAGGCAACGGAAGGGGCTCTAAGGTCTCCCTGGGGCCTTCTCCATTCTGATCATCCCCAGCTCTCCTAGCGTGGCTCCATAGGAGAGGTGCTCCAGCCCTTGGAGCATCTTTGCAGCCTCACTCCAACAGCTCCACGTCTGTCTGTGCTGCAGACCCAGTGCTGCATGCAGTGCCCCAGGTGGGGTCTCAGAGAGGGGGGCAGAGGGGGGCAGAACCCCTTTCCCACATCCCAGCCCTTTCTACAACCTGACCCTTTCCCAGGGCCGACCCTTCCCAAATCCTGACCCTTCCTAAATCGCAACCCTTTCCCAGTACACACCCTTCCCTTATCCTGACCCTTTCCCAGTACAGACCCTTCCCTTATCCTGACCCTTTCCCAGTACAGACCCCTCCCTCATCTCGACCCGTTCCCAGTACAGACCCTTCCCAAATCCCGACCCTTCCCCAGATCCCGACCCCTCCCCAGATCCCGACCCTTCCCCAGATCCCGACCCCTCCCCAGATCCCGACCCTCCGCTCCCGTGGCGGTGGCTGCGGGCAGTTCCGGTGGCGGCCGCGGGGGGGCGCCGCAGCCGCGCTCGCTCCGCCCCGGCGGGACGGGACCGGCCCGAGGTCCCCGCGCAGCCCCGGCGGCTCCGGGCGGCTCCGGGCGCTGCCGCCGCCGGGGTCGCGCCGCGCCTGCCCCGCTCCGACGGTGAGTACCGGGGCCGCGGGGCGCGGGGGGCGAAGGCGGACCCTACCCCAGGGACCCCCCGGTCTTGGCGGGGGGGGCAGATCCCCGCTGTTGCGTCCCCGCTGCACCGGGCGGCAGCGTTTGTTTCTCGTCCCCTGGGAAGCGGAGGCGGGAGGAGCTCGGGGCTTGTCCGGTTGCCGTGGGAGACCCGCGCTGCCCGCGGAACCGCACCGGGCACGGCCGGCGGGAGGGCTGTGCCGGGAACCGCAGCGCCCGAGGGTCCCTGTCCCATGGCCGGGCACACGGGGAGCCCTCCCCGCACCGCGGGTCCCTGCGGGTCCGTGTCCCATCGCACATCCCTTGGGATCATCCCCGTTCCATCCCCCTTGGGCTCCTTCTCCCCGCGGAACTCTCCTTGGAATGCGTGTCCCCATTCCGTATCCCTCAGGATCTGTCTCCCCAGATCCTTCTCCCATTCGCATGCCCCTCGAGATTCCTCTGCCCCTTGCACGCTCCCTGGGATCCCTCTCCCCATTCCATACCCCTCGGGATCCTTCTCCCCGTTGCATGCCCCTCGGGATCCTTGTCCATTTGCACAACCCTTGGGATCCCGCTGCTATCCCACACCAGCCGTGTCACCTGCATTCAGCTGCCTGTGACTGTGGTGGCATCCCAGGCCATGGCAGGGAGGTGCTGAGATGATCTGTGTCCCTGTGAGGCTGGAGCAGTTTCATGCTGAGTTGTAACTTTAGCAGAGAAAACTCAGGGGAGTTTGCTACTTGCTTGGGAAGTGCTTATTTTCAGCTCTCTCCAGGACCAGTTAATTATCGCTGGAAAAAAAAAATATTATTGCTAAGGTCTTATAATTAGGCAGCCTACGGAGACCGTGGAGCTCGGGAGGCAGCAGAAAGCAAATGCTTTTTGTGCAGGGTTTCTGGGGTGTGTGAATAGAGCTGCCCGGGCAGAGGGCTGGCATTTGCACTGCTGCATTACCGGAGAGCTGGGGCACGTTGGCGGCTCAAAAGACCCTGCAAAATAATTACAGGGGGAAAAAAAACACCAAGAAAAGAAAACCTGCTAAAAGAACCCCTGTTGTCCTTGTGAAATCAGGTCCCGGACTGTTACAGTGTTTGTGGAGCGATGCCTTTGGGACAGGATGTTGGTGTTTTTGGGGCTGCTTTTCCATCCTGTTTGAGCAGTCCCGGGGCCGCGGGGTGCGGGCTACTGCAGGGTGCCTGCTGCTAATAATAACGTGGTAAGGAGTTTACCCGCCCTGATCCGGCTAAAGACGGCACCGAGAGAGCCACGGACATCATCAGCCTCCGGTCTGCCCCTAGATTAGGTGGATAAAACTCGCACAAGGAAAGGCCGGGCTCTGGAGCGAAAGGAAGGGAGCGGGGGCTCCGGTCAGAGCCGAGGGGTTCGGGCTTTGCCCTGGCTGTGGGGATGGGATCTGCAGAGGGGCAGGATTTGGAGCAGGGGGCAGAATCTGGAGCCGAGGAGAGCACGTCAAAGCCACCAGGGCGTTCTCATTTCCTTTGCTCTCCGAGTTGTAATTTGTTCCACATTGCAGCGCCGGCCTCTCCCTCCACTCGCAGCATCCAGGCTGCGGTCGCTGCCGTTAGTCCGGGGCTGCCACTCCAGCGGTTTCCATTAAAAAAAAAAAAAAGAAAGAAAAGGCAGAAAAAGAAAATAAAAGAAAAATGTCAAACAAAGACGTGAGGAAACAGCTTTTCTGGTTCCTATTCTGGGGTGGTTATAGCTGAAATCTCACCACCCATCCGTGTGCCGGGATGAGCCCCGGGGAAATTCCAGATGATTAAAAAGTGTTTTAATGGTGTTGTTGCTCTTCCCAAAAGGGAATAAGATGACCTGGTAGCTACAGGTTGATTGGCTTGATAGCATCCCTCCAGGGAGAAGGGGGAGAAACCTGGCTCGGGCTTCAATTGATTAAAGACTTCAACACCAGGAATAAATTCCTGCCATCCAACGTGGCTGTATGGAAAATAACTCCTGGCAAGAAATGATTTCAGTCTCCAACATGAGAGGTGACTCTCTGGCTGTAATACACTTCTGAGAAGCAGTTGAGTTATGGGAGGTGATATTCTTGTAAAAATCTGCACTTTCCAGTATTAAAAAAGTCAATCCAGTCCAGTATTTAGAGCTGACATTGCACAGTGTCAAGAAAGCTGGTATTAAATAAACGTGATCCATTTCCAAGGCAGTTATCAGGGAGATTATCACTGCTGGGCACTGCTAGCTGGTAACATGGACTTGGTGTTTTTATCACTAATCTGGAAGAAAGGAGATGGAAATGATTTCTGCAAAAACCTGGATCTGACCCAGGGCAGCTGAGTGTTGATGGTTTGTACAAATCCGGGTGGTAAGCTGAGTGAGAGAAAGGCATCCTCACTGGAGCAGAATGGAACATGGAAATCTCTTACACCCAAAAATAATAACTGTGGCTGGACGTGGTTTCCTGTCCCTAATCTGGATGGTAAATTTTCAGCAGGAGCTGCTTGCAGATGCTGGGAGAGGCAGCACAGGGGCAGCAGTTTGGGGGGTGGCTGTCTGTCTGTCCCCATTTCAGCACTGGAGAATTGAAAATTTTCAGGACAATGTGAAATTTGGCTCTGGGGAACAAAATAAATAGCAGTTATTTGCATTTCTGGTCAGAACCACATTTGGGCTTATGGCAGCCAAATCCAAATTTTCCTTCTCAGCAGAGGAGATGTGGAGTCTGAGGGGAAGGGGCTGCAGAAAGGGTCTTACAGGTGGAGAGGAGGAGGCCATCCAGTGGGTCCACTCATAAATCAAATAGGAAAGAGGAGGGCTTGGCAAAAGCATCTAAATACTCTCGCAGAGGAGAAAATACATGGTAGCCAAAATCTCATTAATTGAGCAGAGAAAAGATGGCAAGAATCAATATCTGGCAGCTGAGGGCAGACACAATGGAAATAAGGCATAAATATTTTACCAGGAGGAGTAAATCATTGGAAGAAACGTGGGGCAGCAGAGGTGGGGGCAGCACCTCTCTGCCTTTTGCATCACAACCTGCAGAGTTTCTCCCACAGCCCCCAGGCTGGGCCAGCAAGAGGGACTGGATGGAACCACACCAAGGCCCTGATGAGGTGATTTAATTAGAGGATGATGCATTTATCTTTAATCATGGTGGAGCCATGGAAAGGAGTAGCTCTTGTGCCCTGATGGCTCTCCCTGAGGTGCACCCATGAAATCCCTGGTGACACTTGGCAGGTGCCTCTTTCAGCTCTGTCTCTGGCCACCAGTGGTTGTGTTCTTGCAGATCTGCGGTGGGAAGGTGAGGGGACAGTGCTTGGTGGCTCTTCTTGATGTCCAGCAAACCAGACTGAGATTCAGGAGGACAGATCTCAGTGAGCATCCCAGCAAGCTGGGGCTGCTGGGGGAAGGAGCTGCCCCAGGGCTTGCTGTGGGTCAGGGCATCCCCAGCCTGGCATCCTTGGGGACATGAGTCCTTAGGAGAAAGAGATAAAGGTCACAGGGCTGTACTGGTTCCATCTCCTCCCCTTCTCCTTTCCTTTTTTCCTCCTGCTTCCTCTCCTTCCCTTTCCTTCCTCCTGCTGTTCTCTCCTGGTCTCCCATGTGGTGGGATAGGTGCTGTTGGTTATAGATGTGGTTCAGAATCCCACATTCAAACACCAGGACCGTGTTGCAGAACCTCTGAGCCTTCCAAAGCCACCACACTGTGAGCAGCTGACGTCCATGAGCAGCCCAGGACCTCTCCTCCTCTTCCTCTCTCAGAAACGTGACAGACGCCTGCCCAGGATGGTGCACAACGAAGGGCAAGGATTGTTTTGAGAAGGAGGATGAATGGAAGGGAAAAAGGCACGTGAGAAGGATGGCAAGGTAGGGTCTGAGTGCTGGCTGGGGGCCCTGGGAAGGAGCTGCTCACCCGTTCTGGGAGCAGGAACCTCAGGCCTGCAGGAAAGTCCCCAGTGGTGGCTGCAGAGTCAGGCGCGGTCGTGGAAGGACACGTGGTGGCCACGTGAATACTGTGGGCATTTGTCACAGCTCTGCAGAGCTCACACAGAGCTGGCTGTGGAAAATAGCTGGTTTTGGTGTGGTCAGGCACTGCTGGGAAGAGGTGAAGGATCTCCCTGGGAGGCAATCCCAGGCTTTTGACTAATAGGTGTGTACCCGTTAGAGAGAGAACGTCACTGAGGCTGGAGAAAGGGACTTGGGAAAGTCTGGATCATGCTGCAGGCCTGTGTCCTTCCAGGGAATGGGCCTGCAGTGAGAAGAGGGCTCAGCTGGGCTGGAGATGTCCAGGAGCTGCTGGAAGGTGTGACACTCTTGCTGGCTTGTCCTGGGGCAGCTGGAGCATCCTGGGTCCTGCATCGGGGCACAGGGGGATTGCACGTACCAGAGATTTCCCCTTGCACCAGAGATTTCCCCTTGCACCAGAGATTTCCCCCTTGCACCAGAGATTTCCTCCTTGCACCAGAGATTTCCCCCTTGCACCAGAGATTTCCTCCTGGAGGAGATGCCCGTGTCCAGCGTGCCTGAGCGCACGGATGTGGGAGGAGCCCCTTCCATTATCATCTTATCCTGCCCATTAGAGTCCTCAGGGGGATTAAGGCCGGGTGTGTCCTGCTCTCTCCAGGAGAATGTGATTTCTCAGGTCACCCAGGCTGGTGCCTGGTAAAATCACGCCTGTGCTGCTCTAGATGCTGAAAATTGGGGTGACACCACCTCCTGATCCAGGCTTCTGATTTTTACCTGGTGAAAAGTCTTTGCCCCTGACCTCTGTAGGAGCTGCATTTTATAGAAAGAGTAAAAAAATAGCTGTGCTATAAATAACACATTCAAAACCAGGGACCTGCAAGAAGCAAGGATGGTGTCTCTGTGATGTGGGCTTGCAGGAATGATTTTGCCACCAGCAGATGGTAAAAGGTTTCCCTTTGTGCTGGGGGGCAGTTCAGGGTGGAGGAGATAAAATCCATGAAACCAGTGATTTGATGACAAAGCCTTGTCTTTTGCATCCTTGATGACAAGGTCCTGTAGGGACTCTGGGGCAGTTTTCCTTGTGGTCAATGTTAATGAGGGCTGGCAGGGCCGTGCTGGAGCCTGGGGCAGCTGTTCCTGAGCCTGACTGTCTGCCAGTGCCCTGACCTGCTCCCCAGGTCGGGGCTGCCAGGAGATGTCACACAGCAGACATCAAGGGATGTCCCCAGGGATGTCCCCAGCGGGAGCAGCAGCTCTGGGCACAGCTGGAGAGGGAGGAGCAGCAGTGTGGGGGCAGCCAGAGCCCCAGCCCCATCCCTGCCTCAGTTTCCCCACTCGCAAGGTGGGAGCAGGAGCAGCCTTACCTGAGCCCAGTGATGTTCTGGGGCAGTGTAAAACACAAGGTCCTCAGCCCTGCTGTCCTGCTGGGACTCCTGCCCTTCAGCACTGCAGGAGTCAGTTTTGGAACCTGCAGCCTGGGGACAAGGACAAACCCCAGCATTTTCAGAGCCCTGGTGGAGCTGGGGAAGAGGAAAAGGGTGACTTGGGGTGCAGCAGGATTACACAGCTCCCAGCCACATGCTTAGCACCTGGTGCCTCAGTTTCCCATCTGCAGCATTCCCTGTGTCTCTGGCTGTGGGATGGGGGGATGCACATCCTGCAGCAACCCTTCACGTACAGCTGGGAGCTGGTTTCTGGGTTAGAAGGTGACCTCTTCCATTAGCAGCAGGGACTTTTTTCTCTGCTCTTTTTTCCTGAATTAGATGGTGGTTTGGAGGCTGTCCAGGCCCAGCATCACTCTGCTGATAGTGCTGAGTCTGCTCTGAGGCACGGCTGTGCCCCAGCCACTCGGGGCTGCAGCTGTGGAAGCTGCTGGCACCTCACCTGTGCCCAGCCAGGGACACCTGGGTGACCCAACTGCTGCAGCCAGCTGTGGATGGGACATTATGGGGTTCCTCTGTGTGTGCATGGAGTCTCTGCATGTTAGGAGGAGGGAGAGCCCAGTTTTGTCCCAACCAGGAATGCTCAGATTGTATTTCCTGACCCTGCTAGCAGGTCACAGTGTGGCTGTGGGTCACCAGCACCACACAAGCACCAGGTGCTGGTGCAACCAGGATGGGATTTCAAAGCCATCTGCAGATGGGGACAGTGACATCAGGCAGGAGGGCTACCCACCTAAATCCAGAATGGATTTGAGGTTCCTGGTCCATTCCAGGGGATTGAGGAGCACTGGGAGCTGCCACATGGTCTTGGCCCATCTCCTCCAGTCACTGCCCACTTGGGGCTGCCCTGAGCAGCCCTGCCCTGGGCTAAGGAAGAGCATCCTTGTCAGTGATGCCACCCTGGGCCTGAATGTCCTCCACAAACAAGCAACAGCCAAGAGATTTGCCAGAGTCAGGCATTTTTAGAAAGGCTAATTAGAGCCCATTTTCACCCTGTGCCTCTCGCTGAGCAAAAGCATTTAGCAGTGACCTCAGAGTGAGCGAATTTGCACTTGAGCTTTCTGTTTCACCTCTAAAAAATGGGATTGCTCCATAAACTCGTTAGTGAAAGTAACTCCTGATGCCTTGGCTGCTGACCAGGATGGGCCCCGCCAAGTCCCGCTGGGCTCTGCTCTCCTCCTCTGGGTAAGAGGGGCCTCTTGATATCCATGATGGAGAAATGTGGGGCCTCTCCAGGCTGTGTCTTCAGGGACAAACCCATCCAGGGGTAACTGTGCTGGTGCCAAGGAGCTTGGCTGAGCTCTTCCATTGGTGTTTTGGGTTACATGAGGGAAATGGCCCTCTCTGGATCTGCCACCTTGGAGGTGACAGCGGCTCCTGCTCGCTCTCCCTCGCTGCACATCCACCCTCCAAACCGCTCACCTTCCCCTTCTTGCTCTTCCCTGCCCAGCTGTGCTTCATGACGACCTCCCCCACCATGTTTTATGGGCCATCCTCCAGCATGGCTCCGCCGTCCAAGAACCGGCTGAAGCGCCAGAGCCGGCTCTTCTCGCAGGTGCTGTACCGCACCCTGAGCTACAAGGACCGCGGCTCAGCCCCCTCTGCACCCGCTGAGGACGACCCAGCCGAGCTCTCCACCCAGCTCTCGGCCCCTGGCATCCTGAAAATCTTCGGGGGCAACATCTGCGCGGGCACCAACTACAAGAGCGTGCTGGTGACGGGCAGCTCGGGCGCGCGGGAGCTGGTGAAGGAGGCCCTGGAGCGCTACGGGCTGAGCCAGCTCAGCGCCGCGCAGTACGCGCTCTGCGACGTCATCGGCCGCTTCCAGGGCCCCGAGAAGCAGTGGCAGACTGAGGGGCTGAGGGTGCTGGGCGACCACGAGAAGCCCCTGCTCATCCAGGACCTCTGGAAGCCCAGGGAGGGCTTCTCGCGCCGGCTGGAGCTGCGCAGGAGGGCCGAGGTGGAGGAGATGGCGGCCAGGGATGTGGACACCACCACTGCAGGTCAGAGCTGGCTGTGGGGCAGGGAGAGGGGTTGGGGTGCACCCCCAGGAGCCTTCCCGCACCAGAGGCTTTCACACGTGGTTTGGGTACGGGGGTTGGTGCAAGTGGGAGGCTGGGCACGTTTTAGCTGCAAGGACTCAGCACTCTCCTACATAATTTTGGTGTCTGTGACCTCAAATATTTACCCCAGCCAGTTTAAGGGTTAATGACAAACCCTGCCTATGATTGGGGAGCAGCAGGCAAGAGCATCAGCGTTTCCTCCTCTTCCCATCAGTGAAACAGCACCATGGCATCCCCAGCTTCGTGCCTGGCAGAGCACTGCCCTGCTCCCCCATCTCCCTCTGGGCATCCCCCAGGCCTGACACCCCGGGCAAATCTGCAGGAGCAATTAAGGAAAATGAAAAGCTAATGAAGAGAGAGCAATGTAGGGCAGGAGAGCCCCTGCAGCGGTGCCTGATGGAGGCCAGGGCTGGCAGGAGATAAGTGCATCATTAGGAACCAGCAGCAGTAATGAAGCTTTTCTCCTCTCACCCTCAGATAAAAGTCCTGTGAGGATGAGGGCAGAAGGGTTTAAAATCAGATTTTTACTTGCACAATGTGCTTGCTGGGTCAGACCTGCTGACCAGGCCCCAGAGGTGTCAGCCACAGGGTTTTGCTGGGATGGGCCCCAGCAGTTCCTCACACCTGTAGGGAAGAGTGGTTACTGTCAGAACTAAACCGGTGGTGATGCAGGATTACTCTGTGTGCTTGGCAAAGAAGAGCCAAGTTTCTGCCCCACCAGCAGCAGAACAAATGGTCCAACCTGTCCCACACCAGGGGGGACACAGCTCCTCTCCCACCCATCCTAACAAAGCTGGAAAGAGCCCTGGCACACGGGGAGGAGAGCAGAGGCAGCTGGAGCCTGCCCAGCTGCAATTTTCAATTGGGATTTCACCTGGTACTTGAGGACACAGGGCTGCCTCCATGCTCACCATGCCCAGCCTGTGGCTGCTCAGGGAGGGGATGCCACCGGTGCTCCCAGCTCATTGCACACAGACACAGAGGTGGCTCCTGCCAGGGCCTGGGCCAAGGAGGTGGATGCTCTGCTCTTCTCTTCAGCTCTTCCTGCAGCCAGGATCAGAGGGATGTGAAGCACTTTGGGAAAGCAGCAGCTCTAAAAACAGCTTCAGTTGAATGGAGGGAAGGGCAAGAGCCCAGTGAGGGGTGCAGCACTCAGGGGGCAGGGCCATGTGGCAGCTCCCTGCCAGCCCAAGGTCACATCCACAGCCTCAAAGCTTCCCCTCAGATGCACAAAGCAACTTTCCTCCATGGCCTGGATCCTGGGTGGGCTGGGAGTGTGGGAGTGCAAGGCTCCCACCCAGGCAGGGAAGCAGCAGGGTCTGGGCTGCCCACCAGGCCTGGGGCTGCACCTTTGGGTCATTTCCATGGAGGAGCAGCCCCTGGTAGGATCCTGTGCTCTGGATGTGGAAACAAGCCCGTTATGCTTTCGTTATCACTTCATTTGTTTCAGCACTCCTGGGTGGGGCTGTGGAAATTCCCCATTTTTTAACCTTTGGGCATTTTCCATAGCTGACCAAGCTCTTCAAAGACAGAAGCTACACCCACAGTCAGGCTGCCTGCTCTGCAGAGTACACAGCCCGTGGTTGTCTTACCTGGTAAAATCTCACTCCTGCAGCCCTGTCTCTTGGTGGTACCAGGGGCTCTGTCACCAGTCTCACCCTGGCATGATGTGGGGTTGTCCCTTTCCCACCTCATCTGCAAACTGCCAGGAATGAATGTGAGTGATGCAGCCTGTGACCCAGCACCCCAAAAGGACCCAAAACTCCTGGTGCAGGGGGTATTGACCGTGAGTGCCCTCCACCAGGGTCACCCTTGTCACCAGGCTCAGGCTGGCAGAGGTCCCCTTGCTGAGCAGCAGCTGCCTGCCCAGGGTGGTGAGGCACTGGCGTGGAAAACACGACATCTGTGCAAAAGTAAAGGGGCTTCAGGCTTGCAGCTGCCTCAGAGAAAAGCAGAGGAATGCTCAAATAATCTCCAGGGCAATACCTGCAGGCCCTTCCCCACACAGGGCATCACTGGAGCAGCAGGACTGGGACCACTGGGGTCATGCAGGTGCATCCCTGGCTGAGGGAAAGGCTCCACATCCACCCATGACCTGTTAGCAAATAGCTTAAGACTTTTATCTGCTCAGTTACCCATTATCCTAATTAGTTTATTAGCTGCTTCCCACTGGGAAGGGCAGTGCTGGCTCCTCCTGCCACTAATTAGCAGCACAGGTAGAGCCTCTCTGCAGCTAACGAGGCAGCCCCTCTCTCCCTGTGCCCCCAGCCCTGCTCCTTTTGGGGAGCACAGTCGTGGAGATGTAGGGAAAACACCCACAAACTGGAGGGTGGTGCAGCCCTTGGCATCTCAGTGGCATTCATTTTCCAAAATATCCCCATTTTGTACCAGGTCCTGTCCTAACTGGAGCTTTCCCAAGGGGCTGGAGGCTGAACTGCACACGCAGCTCCAGAAACTTGGGATTTAAGCCTATTATTCTAAAAGATGCTCTGGCAAATGCCTTTGAGGATCTGGCTTTGATATACCTTAGCACAACTGCATCCAGGGAAGATTCCCTGCAGAGTCTGCAGAGCAATTACATTAGGAAGGACTAGCCTGGTCTTAGTCCCTCCTGGGTACATTCAAAGCATTTCTTCTTTCCTGGGGCCCATGGAGTTATTTGTTGATTTATTTCTCAGCCAGGAAAAGCCAACCTCTTTCCTCAGCTGAAAAAGAGGCAGATCCCAGCCAAGATCCCAGGCACCACAACTATAAGTTTTTCCTCTGGGTTGCAGGATGGGTTTAGAGGCAGCAGCTTGGTGGGGTCTGGTGGATGCTGCCCAAGGGGTGCCCATCTCTCTCTAAGGATGAGATCCAGCCCTGTGTTAGGATCTGATTAGTGAGAGATGCCTCTGCCTGAGCTGAGGTGCAAACGAGACAAATGCTGAAGTAAACAATACAGATTTTATTAGCAGTCACTGTGAGGTAGAGAGAGAGAAAGAAAGAGAAAAGGGGTGGGGGGACAGAGACAGAGCTCTTGTTTTGAGCTGGTGGTGTCTTGGGTTGGTGGTTGTGGATCTCCCCCTGCCAGAATTGCCTCTTACCCAGTCAGAGCTGATTCAGCACAGTTGCTGAGTTGCTTCCATTAGTTTCTTCCTTATCTTGGGAGTTCTGCCAAGTGTCCTTGTGGCCTGTAAATTCTGTATTCTTTGTGCCCACTATCAGTGGTACATTCCTTTTCCCAAGCCTTTTTAACCCCCTAGGCCTGAGATCACTGGAGCTTGTCCAGCCCTAAACTTTAACAGGGCCTAACACCCTGACAGCAGTACCTCCTTTCTACAGTCCAAGTCCTGGCTATCCAGGGAGGAATTAAATATTTGGGGATGCTCTTTGAATCCTTACATGCTGTTCCCATCCCAGTCTCCATGTGGATTCAGCAGCCCTGGTCATGCTGCCCTGGAGATGTCCAGGCTGAGTTTTGGGTGGGATAACCTGCACATGCTTGGGAGGACAAAACAGTACCAAAGGATGAAAAAAAACCTAACCCAGTTTTATGGAGGGACTTTGTTATGCTCAGGAAAAGAGCAGTGTTTATCTTTCCAGCACAGCCCCGGGGTTGGTGGGAGCCTGTGTTGGGGGCAGTGAAAAAGCAGCTTTTTCCTACACAAAATAAATACAGAAGCTTCCTTTCCCCTCGATAAGGGGCTGGTGAGGGCCTGTCTCTGCAGGCAGTGGGACCCCAGTCCTGCTCTGTCCCACTGAGCTCCAGCAGCAGCTGCTCCCCAGGATCCAGCCCCACTCCTCCCTGCTCACTCAGCCTGGTCTGGGATCTGCATTGCCCCAGCTGTCCTTCATCCTCTGGCCCATTTCCATGATGTGGGTTGGGGACAGGGCTCCTGGGGGGAGCTGAGGTGTCCTGCAGACACGTTTGGGGTGGCCTTTGGCATCCCCAGCAGTGTGGTTTGTGTGGGTTTGTTGTCCTCCCTGGATGTTCCATCCGTGCTGTGGCCAATTGCCTTTTTAAGAAGGACACAGGGCACGGGACTGCTTGGGGTGGCTTGGCTGTGCCTTGCCCTAATCCCAAGGCATGTAAACAGCAGGGGCTATTTTCTCCCTGTCCCACCCCCCCTCCCTGTCCCCATCTCTTTGATTTTCCCAGCAAAGGAGCGCTCCATTTAAAACAAACAAACAAAAAAATGTATTTCAGAATCAGCAGCCCATTCCTCACCAAATAAGGCAGATGATTTTTTTTTTTTTTGGGTCTGAGATTGTGAGTGTCCCTTTAAGCAGCCCTGGGCACCAGGCTCTCTGCTTTGCCGTCCCCAAATCCCGCTGGCTGTCCCCAAACCTCGCTGTCCAGAGCCGGGAGCAGGGCTCTGGCTCTGGCGCTGCACCGACAACGCTGCACTGCTGCTCCTGCAAGCGAATCCTGTAGGGTTTTTTCCCCTCTCTTCGTCCTCCCCGAATGCCAGTGACCTGCTCCCAGGAGGCTGCCCAGCTGAGGTACGAGCATCACCCCTCAGACACACAACTTCCAATTTCTCCTGCAGAGCTCCAGCAGCACGGAGGGACCCAGCGGGAGCCTCCGGCTCTGGGGGCGCCGTGTGAGGGGCTCCTTTTGCAGCTGGGCCCGGCCTATTCATTCACTCCGGCTCCCGTTTGTCTCACGGACAGACAGCTCTGCCCGAATTGATGCTTGGGAGAAGTTAATTACGGCTCGTTCCTGCTGCAGCCAGGCTCCACTGCAGCTCCCATGCCTGGCTGATGCTCCGGGGAATTGGGGGGGGTCCCTGCGGTCCCCAGTTGCTGCTGGCTACCCACTGCCGAAGGGTTGAAAGCCGAATCCAGGCTCTCTCTTTTTTCTTTTTAGCAAAGATTGAGTGAAATTTCTTTTTAGCAGGGATTCTCTCTCCCCCCAGCCCTGCAGTGTGGCCGGGGCGGATGGGGGACACTATGGACCGGCTGCTCTCCATTCAGTGAGGTTTGGGGGCCAGGGAGGGCAGGGACACCCCCGTTTTAGCGGTGCCATTAGGACACTAAACTCCGCGCCGGTGTCTCGGCGTCACCTTTCGGGGAGGGCAAAGGACCGGGGGACACCAGGGCAGGGTGGGTGCGCAGCGCCGGGAGGGCTCCGGCCGCTCCATGCCCGCTCCGAGCTGCAGCATCCCTCCAGCAACACGCGGGGTGCTGCGGCGGGGCGGGGGTGCTCCCGGGGGGGCTGCAGGGGCTGAACGCCGCTCTGTCCCCCCCCCATCCCCATCCCCGCAGGCATCAACGCCCAAGCGCGGAAGCTGCAGCGGCACCGGGCGCGGGGGGCCCGGCGGGCGGCGGGGGCTGAGCGGCGCGGGCCCCCCCCGGCCCTGCGGCGCAGCCTCAGCGAGACCAGCCTGGGGACCCCGGCACGGCGGGCAGGGAGCGGGGCCGCGGCCGGCGGCGGGGCCCGGCTCCAGCGGCACTGCTCCACCCTGCCCGGCAGCCCGGCGGCGGCGCGGAGCGGCGGCGGCGGCGGCAGCAGCAGCAGCAGCATGCGGTACTCCCTCTACCAGTCCCCGCACCTCCTGCTCCTGCAGGGCTACAGCCAGCAGCATGTAAGCACAGCACCGCGCCGCCTCCTGCGCACCCCCGGCACCCCCCGCTTCCCTCCCAGCACCCCCAAGCCCCGGGGAGCGGGGCTGCTTGCATGGCCGGAGCTGCTGGGGTCGAGGGAGGTGGTGGTGGTGGTGGTGGTGAGGATGAGCATCCTTTAGGAAATGGGCTTGGGACTTGCAGCCTTGCCCTCAAGTCTGTCCCCGGCCCGTCCCCAAGTGCGGGGAACGCGGAGGCAGGAGCCGTGACCCCCTGCAATCGCCCGGAGGGATGCAAGGTGATCCCCGAGCAGCATCCCTGCCCCGGCCGAGGGGGCCCCGGTTCTGCGGGTGGTGGCTGCGCTGCCCCGTCCCCCGTCCGGCTCCTTCCTCAGTGGCAGATGGAATCAGAGGCTGCGAGGAGAACAGCGCAAGGAGAACTGCAAAGGACAGGGTCGGCTCTTGCAGTTAATGGCTACTTTGTGCCCGCTGAGTGTCGAGCTGTTCCAAGTTTTTGGCAGGGTGACACCGGCACTGCAGCCATCCCGTTAGTGCTGCTGGGGAAACTGAGGCACGGGTTGATCCCCTGAGCTACCTCTGGGCGCGCGGGCAGGCTGCAGGGAAAGGCAGGGCCAGGGGTGGATGCTCTTGTCCCACTGTCGCCCCGGGCAGGGGGTGCAGGCATCGCTGCAGTCTGGGGGGAAAAGGTGGGAAGGAAAAGCAGCTGCAGAAGGGATGAGGGGGAGAGGTGGAGGGAGGGCTCCTTCTGTCCAAAGCAGCCCCATTTACTGCATGCCCAAAGTCATTGTGCCCATTTATTGCCGTGCCCAAGGCAGGGATCGCTGCTGTCCTGCTTGGCAGCGAGGAGAGTAAAAAAACGAAATGTAAAAGTGCATGGGGGACAGCTGGGGACAGCGAGGGGACAGCTGGGGACAGCGGGAGGCTGCAGCACTCACTGCATGGCAGCAGGAGGGTCCCTTCTCCCCCTCCCCGGTTCATGCTGCGTCTCCTCGCTCGGCAGGACAGCTTGGTGTACCTGCTGAACCGCGAGCAGCACACGGTGGGCCAGAGGACACAGGCGAGCAAGCCCAGCATCAGCCTGTCCGCCCCCGACATCCTGCCCCTGCACTGCACCATCAGGAAGCTCCGACCCTCCCGGCACCGCTCGGAGGAGAAGCTGGTGCTGGAGCCCATCGCCGGCGCTGGCATCTCCGTCAACTTCTCCGAGGTGGCCCGGACGGTGGTGCTGCGGCACGGGGACCTGCTGTCCCTCGGCCTCTACTACCTGCTGCTCTACAAGGACCCCATGAAGGCGCAGCCGCTGCCAGCACAGACCCTGCTGAGGCTGCGGGCCCTGCACCCCGAGGCTCCCCACGTGTGCGGGGCGTGCGGCAGCCTGCTGAAGGACAGGGACCCCAAAAAGCGGGGCCCGTCGCCCGGCGGCGGCCCCAGGACGCCCCGCAGGAAGCTGCAGCTGGAGTTCGAGCCGGCGGCTCAGGATGTGCTGCTGCGGCGCATCATGACCCTGATCGAGCCCGGAGGGGACGACCACAAGCTGACACCTGCCTTCCTGCTCTGCCTCTGCATCCAGCACTCGGCCACCAACTTTGAGCCGGGAGACTTCGGGCAGCTGCTGCTCAAAGCGGCCAAAATGATCCAGAGGACGGTGTGGGTCAGTCGGCGGTGGGACGGGGTGAATTGGGGTGGGGGTGTTGCTCGAGCCCTCCCTGGGGGCTCCTCCTCAGCCTGGTCCCTGGTGGCAGTGAGTGCTGGTGGGGGTGGTGCTGGTGCCACCCCATCCCACGGGTTCTCACTGTGCTTTCCCCTTCTCTCCCTGCCCAGGAGCGGACGCGGGAGCTGGCTGAAAAGCAATCCCAGCAGTAAGTGCGACCCTCCTTGTTTTACCTCAAAAAACGGGGAGAATTCAACCTGGTCCTTCCTCCATGAGTGAGGGCAGTCCGTGGCTGTCAGCCAGTGGTGCATGATGAGTTTTCCTGCTGAATCCCACACATTCTGCTCTCTGGTCCTTTAACCACATGCCTGCACAGAATGAGTGGGTTTGGAAAAGCTCAGGAGGGAATAGGACCTGCAGCAGCTCTGGGGTTTTCTCTGATCCAAGACCTGGCCAAGGCTTTGCACTTGTGAATTCACCCCTGAGTGATACAGTAGGAATGTCCTTATGTGTGAGCCTGACCTTCCTCAGGCTGGACACCCCTCAGTGGAGCTGAGATGGAGCTGGCATTGCATGTGTGCATCCAGGGGTGGTGGCACAGCATGCCCCAATGCTGGGAGCACCATTCTGGGACAATCACAGTGGTGCAAGGAGCTGTCTTCCCAGCCATGTCCGAAATCCCATCTCTAAAGCAGTATCTGGAGAAACTGTTGGTGCTTGCTGTGAGCTCTCCTTTAGAATAAACTTCAAGGATGCTTCCCAGGCCCTTCCTATAGCAGGAAAAAGCAGTTTAGCAGTTGAGAAATGACCCAGATACTTTTTGTTTTATTTTTGAACACCCAGGGCAGGTGAGCTGGCTTTAACTGTCCAGAGCTGGCAGGAGCAGCACATACCTCTGGGTTAGGGCTGCTCTTCAGCCATAAATATTTAGTGCTGTTCATCTGTATCAGGGGAAGTCTCCCCCAAAAGTGGCACCCCACAAAGGCCAGGTGGCCTTGATCAGCCTGGTCCCCACAGGGTCCCCTTTGCCACCCCACAGAGCAGAAACCTCTGAATTTTTCCTTGCAAAGGGTCTTTCCAAGGGGAGTGCTGGGCTTGGGGGTGTGGGGATGTGAAAGCTCTCTGGCATTGCCCCAAACTGGCTGTTTTGTCCCCAAAAGCCTGAGTGGGGACGCTGAGGAGCAGCAGGTGTAACACCTGCTGTGTCTCCCCAGCCAGGACCCTGCCACCCTGTCCCGCTTCACCATCACAGACCTGCTCCCAGACCTGCAGCACATCATCTTCTGGATGGCCAATGCCATTGAGATCCTCTACTTCGTCCAGCAGAAATCACCCACCTACATCCAGAGCATGGAGGAAGAGCTGGACATCAAAGGTAAGTGTGGATGCAGCATCCTGCCTGTTTTCCCAGCCAGAGCAGCTCTGCCCTGCTAATCCCCACTCACAGGTGCTGGTCAGTGCCCTCGAGATGCTCCATTAACCCTCCATAATCCTCATCAGCAGGGACATCTCCGTGCTGTGGGCTGGGGAAATCTGTGGGAGGAGCAGCCTCACATCCTGCCCTGCTGCTGCCCAGCTGCAGAGCCAGGTTGTGTTGTGTTCACACACGAGTATGATGAGTTTTCCTGCTGAATCCCACACATTCTGCTCTCTGGTCCTTTAACCACCATGCTTACACAGAATGAGTGGGTTTGGAAAGGCTCAGGAGGGAATAGGACCTGCAGCAGCTTGTGGTTAATGCCCTGAGGGGCTTTCTTCACCCTGGATTTGCAGGTAGCCCTGCAGAACTGCTCACTGGTGTGCTTGTGTTAATGACAGCAAAAGGGGAAAAAAGATAGAAAGGTATTAAACCAGCCTCAGAAACTTTCTGGTCTATGCAAAAAGTTAAAATGCTCCTAGGCCAGGCAGGAGCTGCCAGCAGTGATGGGAGCTCTGGGGGACAGCAGGTGGGAGCACTCCGGGGCCAGAGGAGCCTCTTTGCCCTGTTGAGGGATCCCGTGGGGATGATACAAACCTGGAAATCCTAATAACCCACACCCTGGGAGCGTGGGGGCCTCGCTGCTGCAGGTTTGCTCCCCCGTGCTCCTCTCCTCCCTGCAGGCTCCAAGGAGTCTCTGTTCTCCTCGACCATCACGGCCAGCGAGGAGGCGATGACGGTGCTGGAGGAGGTGATCATGTACACCTTCCAGCAGTGTGTCTACTACATCTCCAAGGTACAGCGGCACACGGGGCCACACGAGCATCCCCAGGCCTGTGCAAGAGGGTTTTTTTTTTAAGCTTTCACTCCTTGGCAGTTGCACCACGCTGAGGTGTTTTCCTTCGGGCTGAAGTTCCCCGATTTTTGGTCGCAGCCCAGGGAAAGTATTGAATTACTGCGGCGTGTTTCCTGGTCTGCAGTGCAGCGGCTCGGGGGAGGTGTTCGGGGAGGGCTGCTTGGCTCGGGCCAGCGCGGCATAATGGTGTGATTCAGAGCGTGATGGAAAGTGATGGAAAGCGATGGAAAGAGGCCCCTGGCCTGCCCGAGCCGGGCAGCAGCGGGAACAGAGCGGGCAGTGTGAGGCACAGAAAGGCTGCCCTGTGCAGGAACGGCTCCCTGCCACCGGCACCGGGCACACGGGGCTGCTCCCGCTCCCGAGCAGCGCCTTCCTCCCCTGCGCCCTCCTCCCTTCCCTCTCCCCGGGAAGAAGTGAGTGCAAGGCACTGCTCCCCCATTTAAGCAATATGGAAAATCATCCCCATCGATCCTGATTTCTTTCACCTTCGTGTCCAGCTGATTGGTTGCCGCCCTGGTTCACATCAGGTTTTGCAGATTTTAGCTGGCGTCACACATTGTCTCTTGCAACTGCTAAAAGTGACCAACAGTAATTTTTACAATATTTATAATTTTATAATATTTATAATTCAATAACATTTATAATTCTATATTATTTATAATTTTATAACATTTATAATATTAATAATTTTATAATATTTATACTTTAAATAATATTTATAATTCTATAATTTTTATAATTTTATTATTGCTATAATTTTGCATTAATTTTTATATTTTTAAAACTTTTGTGTTAATTTTTATAATTTTTAAAACTTTTGCACAACACTGGAGCCCACGGAGGCAGGGTGTGAACAGGAGCAGCCCCTTGCTGGAACAGCACTGGCAGGGTTTGCTTGGCTTGAGGAGCTGAAGGAAAGGCTCGGCTCATGCAAAAATAGAAAAACCCCAGCAAACTGAGTGTGCTGTGACCTTGCTGCTCTCCCTGCAGTGTCTGTACGTGTCGCTCCCCGCCCTGCTGGAGTGCAACCCCTTCCAGAGTGAGTGCCGGGAGGGCTGGCGGGGGACTCCGCCTCTGCCCGAGGAGCTCCGCAGGGTCGTGCTCATCTACCAGGCTGTGCTGGACCTGCTCCACCAGTACGAAGTGCACCCCGAGATCACCTCCCAGATGTTTGCCTACCTCTTCTTCTTCTCTAACACCCTGCTCTTCAACCAGCTCCTGGATAAGGGTCAGTCCTCCTTGAATTGGGCAACACATAGGGGGCTGAGTTATTGGGATGCCCTCCAATCCATCCCAGTGCCACCTAAAGGGGTACAGGAAGGGGCTGGAGATGGGCAGGTCTCAGCATTGCTACAGGCAGACCAAGCACAGACCCAGCTGCTGGCCCCTGGATTCCCATTCCCAGGAGAGGCTAAACCCCACAAGGATCCCATCCCATTCCATTGCCCCTTCGAGCCTGAGCAGAGGAGGCTGAGGGCAGTTAATAGGGGCAGCTCATTAATAAACTACCGCAGCCTGAGGTTCTCATTAGCCCTCATTAACGCATCTGCCCCCTTCTAAGTGCCAGGCAAGGCCCAGCCACCACCAGGAATTGCAGCCACAGGATGGTGGGGACATTAACCCGAGGCAGGGGCTGGGGGACAGGGGGGCTGTTCCCTGATCTGGCTGATGGTGCTTTGCCTCCTCAGGCTCCTCTCTGGGCTGCTATCACTGGTCTCAGGGGGTGAAGCTGCGGGCCAGCGTGCGGCTGCTCCTGGAATGGCTGCACGGCGCCGGCTTCGAGCAGCTCTCCCAGCAGTTCTTCTCCAAACTGGCCAGCGTGGCCAACCTGCTGGCCATGCCCGGCTCCCAGCTGGTGCAGGTGAGGGATCCCAGCCCAGGGCTCGTGGCAGTGGGATAGGCATGGGCAGGAGAGCCCCTGCTCTGTGTCTGGGGGGTCCCTACACTGATGTGTCCCTTTTGAACCTGCCACCAGCTGCCCTCTCCCAGGGTCTGTGGTGGGCAGTACCCAGGAGAGGATGGTTCTCTCTGGTTCTCTCCATCTTGCCTGACCTCTCCCTCTTTGAAGCTGCTGCTCCTCAGAGGAAGCAGTTTCTCACCTCTGCCATGTGCTGTCTCCTCTCACAGATGACCTGGCCATCCCTGCGAGCCGAGTTCCCAGCACTGAGCCCCGCGCAGCTGCACCGGGTGCTGAGCCAGTGCCAGGCAGTGATGGATGTGGGCTGCATCTCAGCATGGCAGCCCAGTGAGGAGGAGAGCCCAGCCACCTTCCAGCCTGGTGAGTCCTGCTCAGCCTGCTCCAGTCACATACAAACCAAACAGGTCATTCCCTTCCCCTTCCTGGTGTCCTGTACTACCTTCAGCAACTGGTAATAACCATAGCCCCAAAATTCAGATATTGCAAAGGATGCAAAGTGCAGGAGGCTTTTTCTGCTGTTCCAAGTGAGGGATGCTGCTGGCTCAAGCTCACTAAATCCCTGGTCCCAGCTGGGAGACTGCACATGGCTGAGAGCTGGGAGGCAGCAGTGGGGTGCAGCCCGAGCCAGTGCTACCTTCCATCCATCCCTCTGCCTTTCAGATGATGTGCTGGAGTCCTTTGACAACCACCCACCCATCATCCTGCCCAGTGGGGGCTTCAAGGTGGACCTGGAGGTGGAGACATTGGATGACAACATCTACAGACACCTCCTTTACATCCGCCACTTCCTCTGGAGCCTGCAGAGCAGGAGCCCCCACAGCAGCGAGGGGCCAGGCTCAGCACTCCCAAAGGTAGCCTGTACCCCACAGAGGGGTTGTTCCTCTCCTGGCTGGGCAGGAGGGTCTTGGGTCCCTCTGCAGACCCCTCCAAACCCAGTGCCAAGGGCTTGCTGCCCTTGCCTGCAGCCTGGAGCTGTGGCAGTGCCCTCATGGAGAGCTCCTGGAAGGATTAGTGCTGCTAATCCCCCAGCACGGGGGGCACGGGAAGCTGAGCTGGAAGGACGGGCTCTTCCCAGCAATCTCATTAGGGAGGGAGGGGAGATGTCTGTGGGCAGTGCTCCCCTTCTCCCTGTGTGTTCCCTGTCCTCCCTGAGCTGCACCCTGCCCGTCCCCAGCAGCCAGGCTTGCACAGAGGTGCTAATTAGCTAATGCCTGTAAAGTACAGGGAGAGTGATACGTGCTGTGGCTGCTAAGCTCAGCTGCCATGGGAGGGTGTCCCTTCTCCTCTCCCATCCTGTCCCCATTCCCTGCAGCACTCACAGGCCCTGCTGCTTCCTCCTGTCACCCTGGGGCCACATTGCCCAGCCCTTGCGGCACAGGAGGAGCTGTGCTCCCCTGTGTTGCCTTCCAGTGGGATCCCCCAGCAGGGACATGAACAGGAGTCCCCTCCTGGCTGGCTGCAAACACCCCCAGCACAGCCCTGGCCACCGAACTGGGCTGTGGGAGCTGTGCTGGGAAGCCAGGACAAGCCTGGCAGTGTCTGAATTGCCAAGGCTTTGGATGTATCTGGCAGCCAGGAAAGCAGCAGGGTGATGGGGCCAGGTGGGGAGTGAAAATCACACGCAGGGGTCCCACAGCATTTTCCTCCTTCTTTAAGAAAGAGGCATGCCCGACGCCGGAGGTGCTGGAGGTGAGCGAGGGCCCGGCAGCCGCCCCAGGCAGCACCATCACAGTCCAGGAGGATTTTTGCTGCCTGGGGGGCTGTGCTGAGCCACAGGGGAACCCCAAACTCTGCCTGGCCACCAGCGCCTGCCCCTGCGAGCCCCCTGCCGGCGAGCCCCAGCTCCAGGAGAAGCTCCAGCAGCTGCAGCTGGGCAGGAGCCCGGTGCCCAAGGGTGGCACGGTGCCCCCAGACCCCTCCTGCCTGCTGACACCACCCACCACCCCCCTGAACTTCGACTCGGGGAGCCCGGAGTCCCCGCAGGGCACCGGCAAAGGGCTACAGGACGCCCGGAGGAACGGGATGAACGGCACCAAAGGCAGCACCCCTGAAGGTACCGAGAGCTGGCTCTGCCCCGGGGCTGTGGGGCTGGGCTGGGGCGCTGCCAGAGCCCTAAGCCTCTCTCTCCCTCCACTGCCAGGCTGCTCCCCGACCCCCTATGACTACCCCACGCCGGAGTCCTCCAGCCGCAGCTCTGCCACCGATGACTTCTGCTACGTCTTCGTGGTGGAGCTGGAGAGGGGACCCATCGGGCTGGGGATGGGGCTGATCGATGGCGTGGTGAGTTCTCAGCTGATGCCCTCACACAGCTGGAGTGGGATGTGGGATGTGGTTTGTACCCCAAGAAAAGCTGATGGCTTCCCATGGGAGCTAGGCTGCTTCTCCTTGGGACAAGGAGGCACAGAGGGATCTCTCAGTGGATCTCTGCTTACAGGTCACTGTGCTGTGCGTGCAAAGTCCACAGCTGTCCTGCAGCTGGGGAGAGCAAACAGGCTCAGCTCTCTTGTGGAAAGAAAATGAGTCAGCCAAGGTCTTTCCTCCACCCTTCAGCGGTGGCAGGAGAAGCAGAGAGGAGCAGGGAGGCTCACAGGGTGACAAAACAGCTCCTCCTTTGCATAAGGAGGAATCTGACATTGTGGGGTGGATCATCCTTTTAAATGGCCTTTCCCAGCTGTGCTGTTGGTCAGTAGGAAACAGAGCATCACTGAGCCCTGGGACAGCGTGAGCTCCCATCCCAGCATGGCTGCAGGCTAACGATGCTTAACTCTTAATTAAATTGAACAAGAGCAGGTTGCCCTCACCTCTCCTTTCTGTGTATAAATTGATATAAAACCAAAGCTTATTTCCTTCCTGTTACTGTTAGCACCGTCCCCATCATATTCCCAAGCATCTCCAAGATCCCACTTGCCATCAGGCTTGGTGGTGAGCCCTGGGGGAGAGTTACCCTGCCTGGGGAGCTAGGTCTTTTGGGACCACAAATCTTTGTGTCCCTTTTGTCGCTCACTGCCTTCCCCTGCCAACAGCACACCCCTCTGTGCTCCCCGGGGATCTACATCCGCACCCTGATCGAGGACAGCCCCGCGGCCGCCGACGGCAGGCTCTCCATTGGGGACAGGATCCTGGCTGTCAACGGCACCAGCCTCATCGGGGCAGACTACCAGAGGTGAGCCTCACCTCAGCACGGGGCCTGGGGTGGCACCAGCACTGGAGGAAGCACTGTCAGCTCCGGGTTTCCGGCTGTTTTGCTCCAAGGGTTGCCAGCGCTGCAGTGCTGAGGATGCTGCGGTACCAGAGAGCTGCAGGGAGAGGAGTGACCTGCACGGGACACCAGAGAGGGGGGAAGGCTGTGGGTTTGGAAGAGGGATTATGGAGCATAATCCATATTTCCCTCTCCAACAACTGGGGAGCATAAATGGGAAATAAATGAGAGCTCCAGAGATGGGTCTCAGCAATGCAGAGCTGCTGCAGCCCCATCCCACCCCAGGTTTCCTCTCAAAGGTGGTGGGATGAGACAGCTCAGAGGCAGAGCCCAGGTGCCCACAGCACAGAGCAGCTTTGGCCTTGTTTGCTCTTGTTCTGGCACCACTAACCTGGAGGCCAAGGCCTCCACAAAGTTACAGGCAGGAGAGAAACAGCCCCTGCTTGTAGCCCTGAGCAGGCACAGGTGATTGGCAAAGGGGGGGGGGTGTTTTGTGAATGCCCATGACTGGGCAGGCTCCTGAGGGGCTGCCAGAACTCACCTCTGTCCCTGTTGCTGCTCCCTGCAGTGCCGTGGATCTCATCCGCTCCGGGGGGAAAAAGCTGCGGTTTCTGGTTGCCAAGTCGGACATTGAAATAGCCAAAAAGATCAGTTCCAGCTCCTCTTCCTCCTAGTCCTTGTGGTACAGGAATCCTGCAGCAGCTTGTGGCTACAGCTCTGGTCAAGGCTGACCTCAGGGAGCCTGGAGTGCAAGAGGGAGGACCAGGACTCCACAACAGCCCTCGATGTGCTTTTGGACACTTGGCCCCTGCACTGCAGCAGAAAGGACATGCAAGGATGGTGCACGCTTCTCCCACTGCACTGCCTGGGAGCATCATTCCTGATCCATTGCCCAGCCACACCTCATACCCAGTGTCATCCTTCTCAGGAGCTTTCCTGTTCCTTTGTCCCCTCTGGCAGGGGGAGGGAAGGGAATGCTCCCACCACGAGGACTTGTAGGCAGGCTCCTCTGTTCCTCTAGGCTGGCAGCCCTGTGGGATATTTTATGCTGACAGGCAGAAGGCTTGAAATACCTTTGTGTTTTGAAGAGAGCATGCGAGGCAGGCCTGGGCTTCACTGTGGCAGTGGCCACCTGAGGTGCTGGCACATCAGGCTAGAGAAGTGTGCCCAGCTCTGGGGGAGGCGGCACAAGCACCCAGGAGTGGGATTCCACACAGGATGCATTGCCAGGAGTTAATTCCCCTGGTGCCATACACTAGCTCAGGTGCCTTTTGGCTGCTGGGCTACAGCCCTGCCTCAGGATGGGAAGCAGCTACAGCAAAGGGCTGACACCACCAGCAGCTCCTGAGTCCCAGGGAGATCTCCTTGCAGAGAAGGACTCCCTTGGCCTTGCTCTGCAGATTTACTGCCCAGCTCTGGCACCACGATCCCAGCTGAAGGCAGGGACTGATGGCAGAATGTCCCCACAGAGGGTTGGTGCCACCAGGAAGCTGAGGGAGCCCAGCAGCACTCGGCACTGACACCAGCCCAGGCAGACAAGTGACAGCTCGGCTGTCACCATGTTCTGCTCCTCCCGCCCATTGCAAGGCCACCCTGTTTCGTGCCCTGCTCGGAGCATCTCCCGGGTGTGTGCAGCTGAAATGCCGACAGGGGATGATGGACAGCAGAGATTCCCTTTGGGAGGACTCGTGAATATCCCAGGAACCGCCTTGCTACTGCTGCCGACCCTGCTGTCAGCTCAGCCGAGGGTTCAGCTCCATCGTGTGGCTGCCCGGGCCCCGCACACCCGGCCTCCTGCTGCCTCTGCTTTTAGCACCATTAACGGGATAAACCCAACCTGATTTCCACATATAGACAGATACTGAGACCTAGTTTAGCCGAACCCTATTAAAACAGCCTGCAGCAAAGCCCTCCATCACACGCTGCACGGTGCAGGCTCTGGCAGGGGATCAGATACTCACATGGCATCTCACAACAACACTGCTGAGGATTGTGATGCTAAAACAGGGCTGGCTTTAATTACACCTCACTGCTGCAGTTCTGGTTCCTGTGCTTGGTCTTGCACGTCGCAGGAGGAGATGTCAGAAAACTCCATGCAAGAGAAATGCTCCACTACTGGATTTCAATGCAGACTGGCCTGCTTTTCTAGGCAAGATGGACCAGGCACCTTCTCTGAGACACGAGTGCCTTGCTGCTCTGCTGGGCCACGCTCACAGCCCTGCCCTGGGGTGCTGCCCCAGCAGGGACTGGGAGCAGTGCATCCTCCTGCCGCTGACTCAGCTCTACAGGCAGGTGAGCAAGGCTCAGGACTCCTGGTGATTCACTTCACTTTCAATCAAATAGGTATGCTGGCCTGTCATCCTCCACAGAACTTGAAATGGGCTGCCTAAAGCCTCTGGGCAAACTGCATGCACTCCTTACTCCCCTCTGCCCCGGAGCCAGGGCTTGGGGTGAGGCTTGGTTTGCACTAGACAGTGCTGGGGCTGCATCCTGGCACGTTCCAGCAGTACCAGTGCAACCCACTGAGCACCCCTGGAGCTGGAAAACAGCCCCAGAGCTGTGTGTCGCTCACAGTGCAGTCAGGTATTGAAACAGACTGTAAATAAACCCTGCTCTTTACTAGTGTGCATGAGGGCTGGCTTCTCCCAGGAGGAGCAGTGGGATGGACTGACTTCCCTGTGTGTTAATATGTACAGCTGAGATGTGTACAAAGCTCTGGTGCAGCGCCTGAGCACAGCATGGCGCCTGTCGGACACGGTGGATGTTAAGAAATGCTCTGTGTCAACAATAAACTGGATCAATAAACCTCCCTAAGCCCTGCTCTGGCAGCTGTCTCTTGGATCTCTCCATGTTCACTCCAGTGGTGAGACACAAGAGCAGTGAGGGCTCCCAGATGTGATGGAGTCAGTTCTGCTTCCTCCAGCTCAGGCCTTTGCCTGATCTGCTGCAAGGAGAGGCAAGAGAAGCAGCATGTGCAGGTGTAGTGAGAGCAAAGGGGAGGGGAAACAAGGCAGAGGAAGGGAGGGAACAAGTACATCTCCAAAGGGACAGGGTGTGCTGGCAGGGTATTAATGCACCATTCACTCTCCTGCAACATTTGCAGAAATCCACCAGGATTTCAATGCATACTCACTAGGAAGGGATAAAACAAGCTTAGGAGATAAAAAAGCAACAGGCACTAGGACAGAAATACAAACAGCCTTAGACCAGAGGAGCAGCCTCAGCTCTCCTTATTCCTGTTCCATTCACAATCATTTGTTCCTCTTTTCCAGTTAAGATCAGGGCCTCAGCCTTGAGTGTCAGCAGTGTCCACTGAGTTACTGCCCTCACACTGGCATGGAGCCTGGAGCAGGCTCCAGGAGCTGGGTGACCATCCTCAGGGCCAAAGGGAGGGAGTCATTCACCTCCTTCTGAAACTGTGTGCTGGCCACAGGTGGGGTGAACACAAACTGAGCCACGCTGGGCATTTTCAGCAGGTTCATGAGCTCAGTTGCACGTATAAGGATCTCCTCAAGGTCTTCCTCACAGTAAACAGAAGTGACAGCAGGGCTCTGCACAAATGTCCTCATCTTGGACAGGAACATGGACACTCTGCAGGAGAGAAGGACATGGATATCAGCTGGCAGGACCTTTTCACCCAGCCAGGTCACTGCTTCAGTGTGTAAACTCCAACAGAATAGTGCAGGTGACCCAGCATTAGTCAGCAGATGAATCCCACTCCTCCAAACTGTGCCCTTCCACAGCTCACCTCTGTCCTTTTTCAGTTCCATGACTCAATTATTAATTAACACCAGCAAATCCCCTTTTGGACCCTTGAGATCTGCACATTTCAACCCTTGGCGGGTGCTCACCTGGGGATCAAGTCCTGGCTGCGGGCTGCCAGCTTGGTCAGGGTGGCCATGAGGACACTGATGGCACGGGGGGCACAGCTGGGGGTGCTGGCCTGTGGCCTGAGCTGGGTGATCTCAAAGAGCACGGCCTCCAGGGTCTCGAAGAAGCGCGTGATCTGCTCCACCGTGCAGCGCTTGTCGTGCGACACCGACAGGAACTCGCCGACAGCCCACGCCTGGTGCCAGGCCAGAAGGGAGCACAGGGAAAGGGAACTGAATCATTTTTAGGGAACAGAAAATCAGATGAGAGTGCAGCTGGAGCAGCCCTGCTCACCATGTGGGTGAAGATGGCCTCCTTGCTCTGGATGTTGCTGACTGCTCCTGAGAACTCCAGGATCTCCGTGGACAGTTCCACCACGAGCGCGGGGCGCAGCCCGCAGAGCTTTGCCAAGTTTGAGCCCAGCACCCTGGAGCAGAGACAAGGGCACAGCTCAGAGCAGGGCAAGGTGGTGATGCTCAAAGCCAGGAGGGGCTGGCAGCACCCAGCCGCTGGCACAGGGCTGTATCCTCAGGATGTTCCCAGCCAGGATGAAGGTGCAGCCCCCATTTTGCACCCTTCAAAGGTACCTCACAGTGGGGACTGGGTCAAAGCTGAAAAGGCTCCTCCAGGAGGAAGGGCTGGGAGCTGGGCTGTGCCTCCTGTCTCATCTCACCTGTACACATCCTCTTTAAACGCTGGCATCTCATAGAGCTGGTCACTCCTCTGCAGCAGCAGCACCACCAGCTGGTTTATCAGAGAGCCATCTGCAAACTGAAAGCCAGCCCTTGTTTCAGCAGGACCTGTGACATCCAGCAGCCAAACCCCAAAATAACCAGCCAGGTGAGACAGCTGGCAGAGAAACTGCCTGATCTAGGAGGGGAGCTGTGCACAAAGCAGCTATCAGGCACTCACTGTGCTCTCATCTTTCTCCTTTACAGCTGGCTGAGAGCACAGAATGAACCTGACACTGCTCCACAGAGCTCTTCTGTTTTTCTGGATCAAGTGGCCAGCTCAGTGCTGGTTCATGCCAGTACCAATCCCACCCTCCCCTCTCTCAGAGCTGCAGCATCTTCCTAATTTTGCATCTACAACTGCTCTTCACATAACAAGAGATCCCTGCAGCACAACTGGGAACTGAAATCCCTCAAAAGGACCTACCTCTGCCACCACCCTGAAAAAGAGCTCCAGTAAGACAGGGACAGTCTCTGCACACTGCACCACCCTGGGGCTGCCAGCCAGGGATCCCAGCAGCTGCCGAAGTGGAACCAGACTGTGGGCAGAAGAAGAGTCACTGCTGAAGGTTTGTTCCCAGTTGCCCTTCCCGATTCCCCACAAGGCCTTTGAGTGCTGGCAAAGCTGACAGAGGGAAGAGAAATCCACCTCACGGCAGCTCAGAGCAGCTGTGCCTTTCCCAGTAATCCCAGTGCTGCCTCCCAGAGCTGGATGGCTGAAGCACACTGCAGGCAGGCTCCTACCTGTCTGGAGCATCCTCGGGAGCAGACGTGGTGCGGAGGAGATACTGGAACATGCTCTTGTAGAGGGGATGGTGGAAGGCCTCCAGACACGTGGCTGGTTTCCCAGCTGGGTCAGCCCCAGCCTTCTCAGAGGCAGGAAGAGCTGCTGCCCTAGCAGAGAACACAGAATGTGCTGCACATTCTGAATGTGAGAATGGGTCAGGGCAGAGCTGGGATCCTGAACACTGAACAGCAATCCAGGTCTAATCCAGGCTCTCTGGAAGGCAGAGAGCCAACCTGATGAGCTCAGGCCCCCCATATTCAGGCAACAGTTTCAGACTTGCTTCTGTGTCAGGCCTGGGAAAGGGAAAAATGGCACTCTGACCCTCAGTCATCCAAGCCACCAACATCAAGGATGGCTCTCTTTTCTAAGCACTCCAGAAAGAGCTGTAATGTCAGGAGGACAAGGAAGAGCAGAGATACACCCAGTTCCAGTCCTACCCCATCTTCATGGACACTCACAGCTCCTAAGATCTCAGGAAGAAAATTCTGTGTGCCTCCAGGAGAACAAAGCCAAGACCAGGGATAAGAGCAGGAAAGGAGGAATAAGTATTTCACCTCTGTATTGAGGTGGTAGCTTGTGGTAGCTCGTGGAAGCCTCAAACATGTGGCAATCATTTAGAGCTGGATAGAGCTGAATGGCAACAGCTCCCTGAGCCCCAAAGACAGTCCA